TATTGCTCCCTATTCGCCCTCTTCTCCTCCTCGTCTACACTTTCCACTAGCTTCAGATACGCCGCTTTCTTGGTTTCCACTTTTCCTTGCACCTCTCCATTCCACCACCTGTCTCCCTCAGATACACCGCTATTCATATTTAATTTGATGTTGCTTTATGTGCATAGGCCACTAGCAAAGGGTATTTAATGTTGAACATCCTTATTAAATTTTCTGGCTTCGCCACTGCTGACCACGTCAACCCCCGGTGATGTTTCTGACTAACTTCGACGAAGCAAAAGATCCCGCTTTGATACCATGTAAAAAGCAAGGGATTTGAGAGAATTCCCTTGTATATTATTCCAAGAAATACTAAGATATACATACATGCATATTGAATCTAAATAAGGAAAGAATCAATAAAAAGAATCCTACTACTGCTATGTATTTATGGAACATCTACAATTCTAAGATGCAGGTCTAGGTTCATTTTGGAAGAATCAATAATAAGGGACTTAATTCAAGCTTAGCAAAATACTGATATTGTTGTTCCAACGGGATTGCCAAGAAAACCATGAAAGTATAGGCAACTGCTCAACAATTTCAATAGATTTTCAAGAATTAGTTTCACCTTTCAACCTCAGAAGTTACTACTCACTGCCCATAGACTGTTGCTTATGACACTTAGATCTTCCATTCGTCAACCTTATTGCTGACAATTTAATCATCACATATGTGCCCATTCCTAATTTTTTTCTATTCCTACAACCAAAGATCTCAAGAAAATGCCACAAGGATGGGGAACAAGAAGAGGAAACTAGAAAAGAGTGGTTGTCTATTTTAATTGATTTTAGCACCTCTCGCCCAAAGAAAAATTACCAAAATTTTGGAAAATAAAATTCTAGCTGTGATAGGGAACTATAGACCTCCTACAGCAGAGTAAGGACAAAATAAAACAGAGAAGAGATCCAAACAGATGTTTCAAAACAATTCTTGGAATTGAAATTACGCACCAAGTTCAGAAGCAATAGATTTTTCAAATTCCGATACAAGCCACTGAAACCTGTATTCAGGGAAGAGCTGCAGAAAAGTCATAGTATGTATCAACCAAATAAGGGGAAAAGGTTAGAATGTTGAATCAGTATAATGATATTTGAACATAAGAATCAAAAGAGGCACCACCGCATCAGAAAATAGATCTGGAACACAAAAGAACTTTACATGATGTTCCTACAAAAGGAACTTATCAATCCACACCACAACACCTAAACTTGGAAAATGAAAGGTGCATAAAGTTAGTAGCAACCACAATCAAAGGACTATAAATACACCACAACCTAGAGGTTAAAGTTAAAAAGAATACATAACTATGCTATTCCAACTTCTCCAATCAACTGCATGCCTTGCCCAGACTTAAAGTGGGAATATGAGAATCTCTTTCATTAAATTGAAAGAATTTTCTATTGAATGGAAGATGATTTTACATGATATTCTTACAATAAGAACTGATCAATCCACACCGCAACACCCTAAACTCGGAAAATGACAATAAAAGGTGGATAAATTTAGTAGCAACCACAATCAAAAGACTGACAAATATTACTGTCACCTAGAGGTTAAAGTTAAATAGATACATAATTATGCCATTCCAACTCCTCAGTCAACTGCACACATTGCCCAAAAGAAATGACATTTTTAATCTCGTCATTTATTTTACTTGTTGGAGTCAGACGCACTGTTTACCCATCTGATTAGCAATTCTTTTTTTTTCCCTAGAAAGGGATTAGCCTGGCTAGAGGTTTAGTAGGATAACAAAACTAAAAGATGTGGTCTGACTTGGCCCTACAAGTAGCTATCAAGAATTCTTGACTGTCCAAGTATCAGCAGTGTGCCAATGATGCACAACCACAACGGCTCCGCATCCAGAGTACCCAGACCCTATGCAGATAAAGGTACGCAATCATTCTCTTATGCTTTATCAGATCCTGCAATATTTCACAGCTATTTTTTTATATATTGGAATACGGCACAATACTCCGCCACTGATACAAGAACTAGAAAATCATGAGGACACTTTCAGGCATTTTGGTTTCATTTATTACTTGTATTAGACATGATTCATGCGGTTTGATGAATTACATGCATGCCATACTTTACCTAGCTTAAAAACAAAAGAAAACAGCAAAAGGGGAATTGGCACCAGCAAATCAACAAGTTACAAGGAGTTGAAGCAAGACTTGAATATCCAGTTTCATACAACACAGAAAACTAAAAGAAAAAAACAACACTAGATTCATGCCCTGCTCAAGGGAACTAACCATATATTTTATATTCACATATCTAAACTTTTAGAACGTATGGCCTTCCGAGTTAGAGCATAAGAAATATATAAGAGCAGATACAAAGACAAAAACGGAACGAAAAAAAAAAGTAATAAGGTGAGAGACAAATAGGCAATACCAATCCAACAGATTTCGACAGGAAAGACATGGTTGCAAGGTCAAATTTCATTTGATACTCCAATCCAGGGTACTGCACCTGCACAAGGATGAAAGAAGTCCCTAAATTGTGAATCTCTTTATAGGACATATGATATCCTCATATCAGATTATTACGACACTGTAGCGCTTCTAACATGTTTACTAAATCACCAAGTCTCTCAGAGAACAAATGATTACATATTAAAAACACTGATACTCATATGGAAAAACTGGCTATACATTAAATGAATTTTAATACACTTACAGAACTGATGTCTATTATCAAACAAATGCTACATCACTAACTTTTTTATAATAAATGTCCATTATCAAATTGACGCTACAGTTAAATCATAAGAAGCCACCCAACTAATTTCTCATAGTGAATCTCTAAAACTCGATAATAAACTCAATAATTTCACACCTCATTCAAACTCTGAGAATAATGCATGTAGAAGAACTATCAGTACAGCTAAAGGCTTCACTCTTCCGGGAAGAAACAAACGAGTAATGAGACCAAACAGTTACTTTCAAAAGTAAGAATAGCCTTCTGTAGTTGCACTGACATGCAAAATGTTACAAAAAGAATAGCAGAAAAGACTTTCTCAAAATGTCCAGCATACAGTAAGTAGCAATGCAGACCTTCACTGCCACTTCTTGGTGGTCTTTTAAAACAGCATGGTGTACTTGAGCAATAGAGGCAGCAGCAACCGGTTGCTCATCAAAGGAGAAAAATCTAGTCACAAAGCAAATAAAAGAGTATCAAGAAACCCTACCAGTTAAAAGCATAAGCATAAAATAACTTAGCTGGCTGATTTTTATTCACTGCTTTTCTTAAACTGGACAGTGAAAAGCAAGAGCTTTTTCTCCGCTTTTCCAGAAAATTTTATGGTACAGCAGAGCATTTTTTTAAAATCGGTAAAAGAAAAAGAATCAGCAGAGCTACATTACGGAAAATTTGAATTTTCCCTTCATCAGCAACTACCTACATATCTGAAAAATTTGGACCCAGATTTCTGAGTAGCACTTCTTTAATGGCTTCAAACTGACAAGGAACAGCCTATATTGTAACAGATAACAGATCAGCAAAAGAAAGCAGTTTCAATATAATTCAATTACATAGAGTAGTTCCAAATAGAGCAATGAGAACATAAGACTTCAATTAACCAAATATAGAACCTGATCCTGTAATGATGAAAGTGATGTTGAGTATTCTTTAGGCACTTGCCTAATGGCTGCAACAAACTGACCGGCTTTGACATAACTACCTTTATTGGCGTCACACATTGTCAAAATTCTCTTTGCTGACCTTAGATGTACCTAAAGGGAAGAAGGATAACTAAATAATTAAACAGAACAGAGTGGTGTGATAGGGGTTCTCCATTTCCACACTATATCAATTTCATGTGAGCTAGTTGTGTCTTCAGTATATGTTTGGAGTTGCAGAATGCTACCGGATCCCTTCCACAATCAATTGCATATCACAACTAAGAAGAACATTCTCTTGGGATAACTCATAAAGCAAGAAAGTTGTGAGATTCTATGACAATTAAAAAATGGCATCATCGTCGGAAAAAAAAACTGAATGAACTTAATTTGATATTTTGAGGGAGAAAAAATTGTTCGAGAATACCCCTTCCACATTGATTGTGTAATGATTTCCAAACAGATTTTATGAGGCCCTAGGGTACTCCACCTATAGCCTTAAGGTTTTAGATTAAATGTATTGATTCTTTTTCACGTGGTATTAAAGCGCCCACAATCTTGGTAAATATTAAGCTTCTTACACCTACTTGGGGCAGCCTTACAATGCCTATCTGGATAAAGTTTATCTTACTTATCAAAGATCAAAGGTCTGCTACTCTTATCTCTTTTTGGGTTGAATGAGCAAATTCTGTCACAAAATAGTAGTGCTTCAAGTTACAAGCAGGTATTTACGTCCAATTTTAATTTCCTATCATATTCTTAAAAGAACAAAATTTTGCATAGTACCCCATCATTTGGAAGTCTCAACTTATTTAGCAAGAAGTAGACACTGACACTACATGAATTATGTAAACCATAATGGGCGGAGCTAGCTAGGAGAAAGGGGGTTCAATTGAATCCTCTTCGCCAAAAAATTATATGCTGCAAAATAGGGGGAAAAAATTTTGGGTTATATATAAGTTGTTGAATCTCCTTACCTTAGGAAAATTTCTAGTAAAGTGGAAAAGGGGTTCAAAAATTGATTTAGATCATAGGTTCAAATCTCAGGTGTAACATTCTTGAATCCCCTTGCATAAAATCCTGGCTCTGCCAGTGTAACCACATATGAGTGCTTGACTAGTTCAAGAAATTAATCATCACTATGTCATTTTAGATTCACATATGAAACTACTGAAGCACAGATTACAAGAAGGCATTTAAAGTGCAAACCTTAGAAAGAGCAAGACGATACTCATCACTATCAGGATTGAAGCCGTACAAAGAGTACTTGTAGTCAACCACACTGGAAGTAATCTTCACGAATAGAAAACAAAATACAAATAGAAATCAGTGGCGCAGGAAAACTAAGTTCACTGATTGCGAATTTCAACAACAACAAAAAGGGCACCGTGAGGAGAGCTCGGGAGGAGCGAATGACGCCGTTGATGAACGGCGAATCTGTGGAAAATGGGAGAGAGTTAAGGTTTAGGGTTTGAAAGGTAACTGCGGCGCCAGATAAGCCGGTCACGGCGATCAGGTACTTCTTGAATATCCGCCGCCGAGTCGCCATGGTTGGGGACCCAAGATTCTTTGCACTCCGAAATGCGAATATTGGCGGGTGATTTTCTCTCTGTTCTTTTTATACTTGCATATAGTACATTTTTACATATCTAATGCATACATTATTGGGAAATTTACACAAATATATAGCCCAACACAATATATTGCACTGACATCCCCATAATTGATGGAGTATTTCTTTTGCAACAATGCATATATTTTTATACCTTATTATATATATCTTTTTATCTATATCTATATTTATATTTATATCTATTTATCTACCTATATTATTATTTTTACTATTATAAAGACACGAATGTTAGAAAGCTAAATGTTGATTGACAAAAAAAATTAAAAATTCTATAAAAATTAAGTTATTTCTCAAAGATAGATTATATTAGATAGAATCGTACTATTTAAGATTTACCATTGATATCAACAAGATTCATACACTTTTGTCAAAGTTAACCTCAATTAGGATTCATATTACTCTCTCTCTCTCTCTCTCTC